GATGGCGACGCTGGAAATATGTCAGGTGCTTGGCTGGCAGCGATTTGCAACAAAGTCACTAAAAGATTCCCTAAGCTACGGGTATTTATAATTTCCATACTTGGACTTCAGTCATCTGGAAAGTCTACCCTTTTAAATGCTCTGTTCGCTTGCAAGTTTGCAGTGTCAGTTGGTCGGTGTACTCGAGGTCTTTTTATGAGGCTAGTATTCTTGGAGAAAAAGCTTTGTGACGAACTTAATGTAGATGCGATCTTACTGATCGATACAGAGGGTCTTGGTGCTCCAGAAAAAGTTAATGACCCAGAAGCAGAACGCAAGGATCGTCTACTTGCAACTTTTGCGATGGGTGTCAGTGACTTGACACTCATTAATGTTCTTGGGGAATATATGCGAGACTTGACCGAAATCTTGCAGATTGCGATTGTTGCAATGGCACGTCTGGAAAAGGCTGAAATGGCACCAGATATCTTTATGGTACAACATCTTACAGAGAGAGATACGGGGAAAACTGCTATTGATATAGATCAATTTTGTAAAGCCCTTCAGAATGCGTTAGAGATTGCAGACAAAAAAGATGTTGAAATGGGAATCGCAAATTCAAAATGTCTGAAAAATCTGTCTGAACGAATACAAAAAGGAGAACTTCTCAAGCAATTTCATCCGTTTAAGAATGGTGCAAGTGCCTATGCTCCTCCTTCCGAACAATATCACGAAGATATCACCAAGCTATACAAGGATATACTTGATGCTTGTAAGCATTCACATAACAAGATCGAGTTCAAGCAATGGCACGAGCTAGTCAAAAGCTATTGGGAATCTGTATCGCATGAGCAGTTTGCTGTCCAATTTAAAAATGTAAAGGAAATGTATGAATTTATTGAACAGGGGGAGAGAATTACAAAAGTTAAAGAGAAAATCGATTTGGCATTTAGGATTCATGCAGAGCGATCTTCAACGAATATCCGATTAAAGATAGAAAATTGGTCGGAGAAAAACAGCCATAGCAGTCTACGTGATGACTGCATAACGAGCATTTCGGAGAATTTAAATATTCCTAAATATTGCTCATGTCAGGAATGTGAAAAAGCACGATCAGAATGGAATACTTTGAAAAATTATGTTGAAGATAAAGATAGTGAATCTGATACGATAAATACAATCAATCATTATATCATACATACCCGCGAATCTACGAAGATAACACTCATTCAGATGCTTGATGCTATCCTAATGAGTAAAGGTTGTACAACAGAGTTCATGAACGTAATCACACTTCGCCTTAAAAAAGAATTAGAAAAACAACCAGCAGGTGAATTTAATGAGGGAGAAAGAAAAACTATTGCTGACGAGATTTGGAATTCTCTTCGAAAACTTGCATATTCTAAAGGGAACGTTTTACCAGTTAAAAGAAAAATCAGTGATGAACTGGAAACAGAGTATGAAAATGTAGCTGATTTTTGCCGTCGATTCCGAAATGATGAAATACCACAGACGTTAAACGCCGAAAACAAAAATCACAATTTTAAGACTATTTTATTTTCAAGCAAAAAGTATGAAATAGAAACCTTGATGCTTGAAGAAAAACTCAAAGTGCTTGGGCGAGTTATGCTGAGAGAAAAAAATAGAGATCATTTTCAGACTGGGATGGTACGTGAACTGAAAAACAAAATAAATGAAACAATAACGAATACATTCAAACGGAACGATAAAGATTTACCTTTTTCCAAATGGGACGCTCATTTATTTGCTCTGGGAAAGTTTCACGAAGAAATGGAGAAAGCCCAAAAGAAATGGGATGAGAAAAACAAACCAATTTTGATACTTGAACAAAGGCAACATGAATACAAAACATTGATTAATCATCGACTTTTACATGGTTTCTCATTTGCTTCCGAAGGAACAATTATTGCTAATTGTCTACTTAAGGCAATCAAACTGAAAGCAGTGAACGCAGGAAATTATGAGAAAAAACATGCGGTACTTAATTTGAGTTGGACAACAAACAGTAAACAAGTACGACTCAAGTACTTTGAGAAATTGGCTAAGGAAGTTCAAAATGGAAAAACTACTAATGCGATCATGCACTTTGAGCGTCCTAAACACCAAATAGACGAGTGGTTCAAACAGATTATTGATGAATATCCCAATCAAGCACAAAGAAAATATGAAGAAACCTTTGAAACAGAATCTGAGCACGTCATTAGCAGTGTTCGTAAATATCAAAATATCGAGGAAATTGAAAATTTTATTTGGCTCAAGTTGAAGGGGTTGAATACAAAATGGGACAAGATACAAGTGAAATGACTGAAACGGACTTAGAAGTGTTACGTACTAGCATGATGAAGAGCTTAGAAGATCAAAAGAATAATGTTAAATTTAGCTCTGTGATATTTCAAAAGCTGTCTGAAGATGAGGATGTAATGAGAAGACTCGGGTGCACGGAAAACTGTTTTTGGTGTGGAGCTCTATGCTGGGGAGGACACGCACACAATGAGCATATGGACGACACAAGAAGACATCATACATGTCATCAGCCACGTGGTCTAATGGGAACGAAAGATAGATACCACAAATATTTGATTGCGGAGTCATGTCATAAAACTCTTGATGATACTCTGGTCTATTTTGGAGATCATCAGAATGGGATAAAATGGAGCGAGGCAAAAAGCAAATATTTTGATGATTGGATTTTTGCCATCCATGCCGACACTCAATTCAATAATTTAATGTGCTGGTTCTTTGAAAAATTACATAAGAAAATAGCAGAAAATTCTTACTTTAAGCCGGCATTGCAAGAAGATTTGCAGAAAAATAATTGCGTGGATTTAGATTATCAACAAATTATGTCCAAGATTAAGTTAGATCTTGGTAAATTATAACAATGAGTTAATAATTTTAGTGAATATTTTCTTGTGAATAGTTTCTAACTGATACGTATTTGTTTCTATTTTTGTAAATCTATAACAAAATATGTAATTAGTGTAGCCAAAGAGTTTTTATAAAAGAAGAGCTTCTCTTAAGTAGAAAAAGCTCATGCTCTGATTCAATAAAAGTGTCAACTTGTAAAATATACTTACTTGTTAACAGATTTTTCACTTTATCAACTTCAAAGCTTGCATACAAGTAGTAGAATACCTCTACTATAAATAAGCCATATCTTCATTTTGTAATCTTATTATTTTGTTGGCCACATCAATAAGTTCAACCTTTTTGTTTTAAGTACTTTTGATATTTGTGAATATTTGATTTAAGTTTTGTAAATTATATTAATAAATCCTACTTGTTATTTTAAAGTTTAGTTAGTATTTATCTGAAAATATCTTTGTTTAAAGATCCATATTTTTTATCAGTATTAATTTTTGTATATATTATTACAGGAGATTTTTAGAGCTTTAGAGTATTTCTCTTTAAGTAAATTATTCAATCTAGTTTACAATTTATTTGTTATTATCTTTTTATAGTTAAACAAACTTTTAAGAAAATATAATATTATACTATATAATATAATGCTTTTCAAAAATAATGTATATTTCATAACTTTTTATAGATTTTATATAATTATCAAAATTTTCTGAATACTAATATTATAAATAAAATTGTTAATATTTTTATAAATTAATAAAGCTTCTATATTAAATATATTCAATATATTCAATATATATATATAATTAGTTATTTTATAATACACATCTCAATATTCAATAATCTAATTTAAACAAATTATAACTATTTGATTCATCTAGTTGAGATAATAATATTTTTGTTCAAATTAAATTACTAATTATTGAAATATTATAACTTAAAGAAAAAATTCATTTTTTTGGAGTTTATTACAAAAATATAATTATTTTAATAAAAAATTAGTAAATTTATTTAAATTATTAATTTAAATCATGATTTAAATTATTATTTTGATTTAGTTTTATTGAAATTGAGATTATAAAGTTATTAATTAAAATTGTTAATTATATTATTATAAATTAAATTTGTTATTATAAATTTTATAAAAATAATTAGTAATTTTATCTAAACTTTTATAAATTATATAAGTTTCAAAATATCTCTAATTAAAATATAAAAAATTTTTGAGTTTTTCATAATATATACCGAGTAATAATATTTTTAGAATCTTTTTCTAAAGCAGTTAATATTTTTTTATTTAATAAAGTTAAATAATATATAATATATTTTATTATACTAGTTTTTTTAATTTTCTTAATTATATTTATAATATTTTTATTTTTGAAATTTCTTTTATTTGTATTTTATAAGAAATTTCAAGTCATAAAAAATTATCTATCTGAATTATTTTGTAAAATATTCAAATTGAATTTAATATTATTAAATTTTATTTTAAAACAAGTTTTATAAATATTATAATTAGCATATTCAAGTAAAATTTTTTTAGATATCTTAAAAATAAGTATATTTAAGAACAAAATATATCTTGTTAATTATAAGTTGCAATTTACAAATTTAATATAAATAAATTTGGTTCAGGATATAAATATTATTTTCAACAAGAATTCATTCTTTTTTTGTAATTATTCATATATTTTCTTCATTATTAAAGGGATGATACAAATAATATAATACTAAATATAAAACTAAAAATAATTAGGCTGAAGAAGTAGAATAACAGATATTCAACAAAAATTGAAACTTTAATAAATACTTTATCATGAAATTAGTCCTCAAAAATGGAATTTGATTTAAATATATAATGCAATGCAGTGAATACAAAGAATATATAAATAAATATTTTGGAGCATTATATTGTTTAGCTGATAGAACTATCCCTAGAACATGTAAATAATACTATAAAGAAAAGAAATTAAATCTACCTTAATGTGCAATTTGTGAATATTAAGATAAAGCAAAACACATATACATTACTGAATGTTATAACAAGAAGTACTTTTGCACATATAAAGAATAATGTATCTATTGGTTTAATCAAGAAGGATAACAGAATAACTATAAAACTATTCAGAAGCTTAGAGAACAAAAATTTCTAATGGATATATATCTTGTTTGTAATGAAATTGGAAAAGCTATTTTATTCTGATACATTTAACCTAAAGATATTAATGAACAAATAGAACTAATTCAATATACAAATCCTAAAGAAATTTTATTCAATAAAATATTCCAACAAATTTCATCAGAATGACATATACAACTCATTAAACTGAATATATTAATATCAAACTATACACTAAATATTTGATTCTCTGTAATAATAACCAATGTAAAGATTACCAAGAATCTGAAATTTCAGAAACTATTCTGTTTGTTAACAAGAGTAAAATATCAATATATTCAAAATCAAACTCTGAACTTGAAGAAATATTAATTCAAGCTGAGAATATAATCACTTCTTTATAATAACTGGCTTCAAAAGTTAAAACCAAAATGAAAAACCAAATAATAGATAAACATAATAAAATATTTGAACATTACTATATCATTGACTTCATCAAGTTACTAGTTTAAAAAGAAGCAAACTTGGCTATCAAGATTTATAATAATGCCAACAAAGATGTTATACCTTAAAAAGCTCATGGAAATGATACTGAATTCAATGTAAAATATACTGGTGAAGAACCAATTAAAATACAATCTCAACAAATTACTTATATCAATTTATTTATCACACTCAAAATATTTTCTGAAATTGTATGGCAACTTATATCTCATTTCTCTTTGACAAAGAAAGAAATTGAAGTGAAAGCTAAAACTATTGACTCTGATTATACTGAAAATATTGGAGTATTATTATACAATAACTCTCAAGTTCCATATACTATTCAATTACAAGAACAAATTGTCCAAGCAGTATTTTTACAATTCACACCAATTAAAAGAATAAAATCCATTTCCACTTGGCAAAAACTTGGAAAATTTACCTGTGGAACTGGTGAATTTGAATTAACTAATAATAAAGAAATTAATATATTCTTCTTAATCAAGAAAAAGAAAGTGACAAATCAATAGAACAATAAAAATTAACTGAAGAACAAGAACAAGTTCTAAACAAATTACTGAAAGAAAATAATGATATATTTGTTACTGAGCTTCATGAATTTGGACAAATTAATAAAGTTCAATATATTATCAATACTGAAAATAAATGATTAATTAAGCAAAGATTTTATTGAGTATTTATATCTGATCAATAATTTATTTCTGAAGAAATAAATAAGATAATTAATGCTAGAATTATTTAATCTTTAACAAGCTCCTATTATAGTAACAACAAGAAAGAATAATAAGAAAAGACTTTGCATAGACTATCAAAAACTTAATAGTATTACAAAGAAAGATATCTATTTCTTACCAAGAATCGATGAAATGTTAGATGCTCTTGGAGAAGCAAAATAATTTTCATTAACTGATCTTACTAATGAATTCTGGCAAATTGGAATACATACTGATAGTATTCAAAAAACTATCTTTACCTCTCACGAAGAATTATTCGAATTTAATGTTATATTATTTGGTATATGCAATAGATCCATTACCTTTCAACAAGCAATGAATGATATTGTTACAAGTTTGTTCACTAATTGTTAAATTAGCTTACAAACGAGAACCTGGGTTGGGAGAGGGTATAAACTGATAAAGAAAATATTAAGAAGAAAAGAA